AAGTATTAAACAAAGAATAGGTGAGATAAACTTACCTCAAGATGCTAAGTGGGAGTCTTCTCTCAAAAGCCCCCAAAATCGCCAATGGAAGAGTGAAAAGTGGTAAAAATTAACTTAGAACCAGTATTAAATGAAGCTCACTGCTTCAGCGATTTCCGCATCTGCGGTCAAGGGACTGCATCTGCGAAAGGGGCTAAAAGGGTTGGGACCGCTTCTGCGGTCTTGAGGCCGCTTCTACGGTTCGAGAGCCGCTTTTGCTGTTTGGCCTGGCCTTCCCTGGGCCGCATCTGCGATAGATGGACCGCATCTACGGTCTCGCACCTGCGGTCCACCAACCACAGGTGCGGTTATAATAGAAGCAGCAGCTTCAGCACTTCTCAAAAATTTCAACTTCACTCGAGCCTCGTCCGATTGACGCTCGGGCCTCCCGGGCTCCGCCCGAACATACTGACAAGTCTGAAATCATGAAATGGACCTACTCGAACCTTCAGAATGCCCGAAACAATGCTAAATCTAAGAATCACCCCCTAAAACCAATTGAATCAAACTTATGAACTTCAAGTTCTTAATTTTCCTCTAATGGGCCAAAACGCCCTTAAACTACTCGGATTGACACCACATTTTACGGGCAAGTCTTAAATGATATATCGGACCTTTACCGGGCTTCCGAACCAACATACGAGCCCGATACCCATGAAATCATAAATTAATTAGTTTCTTTAAATCCTTAAAACTTCAGATTAACAATTTCTAATAAAAATTCATTACTCGTGCTAGGGACCTCGGAATTCGATTCCGGGCATACGCCCAGGTCCCATATCTTCCCATGGATCCTCCAGGACCGTCAAATCACAAATTCGGGTCCATTTGCTCAAAATGTTGACTAAAGTCAAACTTAGTCTTTTAAGAAAATCCTAAGGAATCAAATGAGCATATTTCACTCAAAACTCTTCCAAATCTCGAACCAACCGTCCCCGCAAGTCGTAAATTAGCTAAAGCAAGCGCGGAAAGTTTTATTTAAGGGAATGAGGTTTTAAAAGGCAAAACGACCAGCCGAATCGTTACAAAATTACTCTTCTCAAACGAGGGGTTATTGGATAGTCATGAATGCTTCATATTGGGGTTAAAGAGGCTAAAAGTTGGATAATTTCATATGAATGATTCATATTGGGGTATAAAGAGGATGAAAGTTAAGAATACGCCATGCTTTGAGATGATGTCTGGTAAGAATTCTCATCATAACTTTCCAATTTAAGTGCACTGCATTACAAGTGTTACATATAATTGATGAAAGAATTAAGTAAAATTTTCCAATTTGAATGTATTACCTAAAGTAATTGTTATGAGGAAGTGTTGTCCATCAATGGTCTTAGGAATTTGATTAACCATTTTAACGCTTTGATGCATTAACTTAAGATATAAATTAATGGAAAGATAAGTTATGACGTACCCTACAGACAACCTTTATAAACTTATTTTGCGTTCAATATGGTTTGGGTATCTTTTAATATGAAAATAATCCATTTCCTATTATGTTTTCAAGTGAAATTCACATTCTTCATGCGGTAGATGGATTAGCATATATGTTAAATTTCTTTTATTAGACCTTTAAAATGTCAATATTCTAGAAGTTACATTTGCACAAATGTACTTTGTTGTAATTGGCTTTTCAGAATATGTAGTTGTTAGGAGAGTTAAGGACTTAAGATGGTGGTTATTTTATTTTATGATCATTCTTGAACAGATAGATGCAGAAACTATTACAAGATACTAGGAAAGCTATTTGTAGCGCAACACAAAAGCTGAATACTAATTTTCTTGTACTATGCTTTTGTGGAACTTGAAAACTTAAAGGTTTTTTTCCATCCATGGTGTTGCTGCTGCAGTTTTCGGATAAGTTTCTGCTACTGACGATGACTTACTTCATCTTTCAATGGGGCAGAGCTTTCACATCTTTTAATGACTTAGTTGCTGTTACCCTCTTATTTTGCCAACTTTTTATGGAATTGTTTACATCTTTAGGCAACACCAAATGCACACCAAAGTATTCAAAAAGAGTGCCTAACAGGTTATATTTGATTGCAATGTAGTAAAAGATGGATTCCACAGAGCTATTCAAAGAAGAAACATCTGCTACAAATCTGAAAGCCCCTTCTATGTAAGTTTTCCTGTAAAATTATGATATTTTATTGTTCTATTATAGAAGCATTATTTTAGAAGGCTCAATTTGGTGTTTAAGTGGTATTCCCTTGTATATTTATATTTCCTTCTGAGACCTTTCATTATTTATGTGGAACTTGAAAGAAAATTAAAAATGACGGACTCCATCTCACATTGTCTCATTATAATATAATTATAAGTTGGTAACACCATCAAATTTGACTTACTAGCCACCTAATAGTTTTTGCAGAATCTTTCTCTATATTTATTTGAGAAGAAATTTTGGTTATACAAACTAATGCTTTGGATAAATACCAATTTAAGAACATACATTGCTTCTCTTTTTCAACCATTCAGTTCAGTAAATGAGTAAATGGTTGAACTTGGTAAGTAGTTTTCCAATCTAAAGTTTAGGAATCTGTTTGATCTTGCATAGCTAAACAAAAAAAGAATGAATATTCACATGGTAATTGATGATAGGCTATAATTGCGTATTTTAGACGCTTATTACGCTCTAATTTATTACACTTTAATTGAGTTTGAGCTTTAATCGCTAGTGTTTTACACTAAATATGTGTTTTATGCCTTTTAGGAGTGATTCCGATCTGTGTAGGCGCTATGGAATGAATTCAAGCGATTTGGATCTTTAAAGTCTGAGTAAAAGCCCAAGACATTAAGCCAGGATCGTGTTCGGAGGTCGTGTACCAAGTCCGGATGTTAAAAGAGGACGAAATAAGTTCACTCTGAGAAAATTACACTGTCGCGCGCGCATGGCCCGCCGCAAGGCGCGGCGCAGTAGTGTAAAATGCTGTCTGATGCAAAAAGTTGAGGCTGCTGATAAACTCCATTAGCGCGCCACAGGGCGCGCCGCAGGGTGCGGGGCGGCTGTATAAAATTTACAGAGCCAGAGTCTTATTTCGCGCGGGAGAATGTGTTTTCGTCTGGGCTCAACCCTACTTGGTATAAATACATATAAAAACGTTATTTTGAGGACTTTGGACGGAGCTTAGCGTGTGGAGATGCACTTTGGAGCAAAAATACACACAAGAACATCTCAGATTCTTCATCTTTTCTACTATTTTTAATTATTCAAAACTTATGCAATTGTTTGATTACATCATGAGTGACTAAACACCCATTGTTCTGGGGTTTTGATTTAGCCATGAATATTGTTGTTTGATATTAGCTTGACCTTGATTATAATTCACCAATATATGGTTGTTTCTTCAATTCTGTGTTTAATTGCTTAATTGTCTGGCCAGCAGTTAGGTTCTATTTACTATCTATGCTATGCTTGGGAAAGCTGTGTTTAGATTAGAGAAGAATTGAAGAGAGCATGATCTTAACCCTTAGGGGGAGCGGATTTGTGGTTAGGATATGAATATACCTAGTCACCGTGCTTAATTAAATATCGTGATCTTAATGCATTCTTAATAGATTAATTTCATAGGAATATAGGCGTTAATCTATTGAGAATAGGTGAGTAGTACTTCGGGAGAAGGCTGTGAGTGCATTTATCGATTAATTAGCAACCATGAGTGAATTATATGAAAGGGAGAGTTAATTAGAACACAATAGGATTGGTGAATCGATCACAACCCTGGAATAGTTATCTCTATTGAATACATAACAATTATTCTACTGCTTGATAATTTAGTTAATACTTAGAATTGTAGTTAGCATAATTAAACTCTTGAACTCGAACTTAGCTTGACGGAATAACAATATTGTTGTGTTAGTGAGTAGTTGATATAAGTCTCTGTGGGTTCGACACTCGACTTATCATTTTATTACTTGTATGACCACGTATACTTGCATGTGCGTTTGGGAGCAACAAGTTTTTGGCGCCGTTACCGGAGACTTGAATATTAGCTACTTGCTAGTTTTTGCTTTAATTGTTTATTTCATTGAGTCTAACGTTACTTGATTGTTTCTCGGACCTCATGAACTTTGATTGAATGCGTAGGGTCAGAATCCAAGACCGACTTCAAGGCTTTGATCCTGAACCTGAGAGAACATTTCACAGGAGGTTGAGGGAAGCAAGGGACATGAATAATATTCAGGCACTTGTTCAATTTCCTGTGGACATGGGAGAGGAGCAACCCATGGCTGTTCAGGAGGTGGCGATGCCCAGCATTGCTAATGTCACCTCCAGTATAGTAAAGCCTAGGATCAGTGGGCACTTTGAGCTGAAATAGAGCATGATCCAGCTACTTCATGCAAACGGGCAATTTATGGGTTTTCCACACGAGGATCCACAGCAGCATATTTTGAACTTCTTGGAGATTAGTGATACTTATATCACTAACGGGGTCACTCCAGATTATGTGAGGCTCACACTTTTTCCATTCTCTCTATTGGGCGAGGCTAAGCGATGGCTAAAGGCAGAACCAGCTAATTCCATTACAACATGGAATGATTTGGCGAGAAAATTTCTCGCAAGGTTCTTCCCTTCAGGCAAAACTGCAAAGATCAAAAGTGAGACAGTTGCCTTCAAACAGAAAGCAGGGGAATCTTTATACTTAGCTTGGGAAAGGTTCAAGGGGATACTCAGAGACTGTCCTCATAACAATCAGACGAATGAAGTGTTAGCTCACACTTTCATAGAAGGGCTCTATCCCCAAACAAAAATTGTAGTCGATGCGGTAGCTGGAGGTCAAGTATTGGAGAAAAGCTTTGATGAAATTTATGCATTATTGAACAAATTCTCCAAAAGCAATCCGGATTGGAAAGGAGAGATGGGTAGGAACATGGTACAAAAATCACCAGGGGTTCTTGAATTAGATGTTGGCTCAGCATTGTGAGCACAAGTCTCTACGCTGACCAACCAAGTCAATCAGATGACCATGATCATTAACAAGCAACAAGCCCAGCCAGTGCAACAAGTTCAAATATTTTGTGAAGTATGTGGAGAGGGTCACATGAGCAATCTATGCCCAGCAAATCCAGAATCTGTATATTTTGTGGGTAATGCAAATCGAGGCCAAACAAATCAGTATGGGGACACCTACAATCCCAACTGGAGGAATCACCCAAACTTCTCTTGGGGTGGAAATAAAGGCAATCAGAAACAATACTGGCCTCAAGCACCTCAACAACAATCAAGTCCACCTCAGGCTGAACAACAAGTTAGCCTTGAGGAGATGATGAAGAAATTGATGACCGACCAACAAGCCCTCAATCAGAAATTAATAGCAGATCAACAAACTTTCAATCAGAAATTAATAGCAGATCAACAAACTTTCAATCAGAAATATGGTTGGTCAGCAGGCTTAAGCCGCAACACTGAGAAATTTGGAGCACCACGTGGGCCAACTTGCCAGAGCCCAAAATACCAGACCAATAGGGGCTCTTCCTAGTGATACAGAGCCCAATCCTAAAGCTCAAGTCAATGCAGTTACCTTGAGAAATGAAAGAGCATTAGAAGAAGTTCCAAAGAAAAAGAAGAATATAGCTTATCCCGAAGGACATTAGTTCCCAAGCCAGTTGAGGGGAATAAGAAAGATGATAAAGGACCCGAGCCAGTAATTGAGACTAGGCCACCACCTCCGTTTCCACAAAGACTGCAGAAGCAAAAGATGATGCTAAGTATAAAAAATTCCTAGATATTTTGAGCCAAGTGAGTGTGAATTTACCTTTGGTGGAAATTTTGCAGGAAGTGCCTAAGTATGCAAGGTATCTCAGAGATATTGTGGCAAACAAACGAAGACATGCAGAGTTCGAAACAGTTGCACTTACTGAAGAGTGCAGTGCCAAAGTTCAGAGTAAACTTCCTCCTAAGTTGAAGGATCCTGGGTCTTTCACAATTCCTTTGTCTCTTGGAAAACAAGAAGTTGGTAGAGCCCTGTGTGACTTAGGGGCTAGTATAAATTTGATGCCATCCTCTTTGTTCAAGCAACTCGGATTGGGATTGCTTAGACCTACTACAATCACTTTACAGTTAGCAGATAGGTCACTAGTCATGCCAGAAGGAATTATTGAGGATGTGTTAGTTCGAGTGGGAAAGTTTATTCTTCCTGCTGATTTTATTATTCTTGATTACGAGGCATATGAGGAAGTGCCCATTATTTTGGGGCGACCATTCTTAGCTACCGGTGGAGTAATTATTGATGTGAGGGCAGGGAAGTTAAAAATGAGAATTGACGATGAGGAGGTCACTTTTAATGTGTACAAGGCACTTAAGCTCCCTAAGCATTATGAGGACTTCTGCATGATTACTGTGGTCGAATTGAAGGAAATAGAGCAGAGTCAGCATGTGAATTATAGTGATCCAGATGGTACAACTGAGTTAGAGGAGGTGGTGTTTCCAGCTGAACGTGTAAAGATGATTGAGAAAAGAGCCATAGATAAAAGAGGAGACCTTCCGAGAGCTTGCAAAAAGGCTAGACTTCATGGGAGAAAGAATAAGAGAAAGCGCCCAACCTGAGCAGAGTAGCAGAGTCGTGCCGCGACTATAATTAAGGCGCTTGTTGGGAGGCAACCCAACCTGTATATCTTTTATTTATTGATTATTTTTTTTCTAGTGTCAAGTTTTGTGTTGTTTTTATTTTGCAGAGTAGGGGAAGTCTGAGTACCCAAAGTTGAAGTTGAGGAGCATATTTGAGCCTAAGTGTAGGGTCGTCCCGACTCTTAATATTGAGTATTATGTCCGAGCTAGGCCTGAGAGGGCCTCAGGGAGTATTTCTCACCCTTGTTTTAATATTTCTCTATGATCATGCATCGAGGACTATGCATAATATATGTGTGGGTTGGGGAAACTACTTTCTGAAGTGTAATTGAATAAAACTATTTTTTTGTTTAGTTTTTCTTTTAGAACTCGTAGTAGACATAGTCTAGGTAAAAAAAATAAAAAAAAATAAAAAAATAAAAACGAAAATTGAAAAAAAAAATTGAAAAAGCTTGGACTTTTCCCGACGATGGATCTTTTGGACAATTTTCTTGAGGGATAAAAGTCCGATTTAAAAAACACCAAATAGATTTTTGTTTTATTTATTTATTTTTAATTTTTAATTTTTTTAGAATAGCTAGGTAGTATTCCTTGGTTTTTCTTTGGGCACCGGTTCTTTTCCAAGGATGTAGCTCGAACCGGGCACTTTAATTTCTTTTTACGAGTAGTTTAGGAAGGAACTGAGTCATTCTGAGATACTCATTGACATGGTTGATGCTGGCAAATTAGGCTATGACATACATTCTGTTTTCCCGTGTATTTGATTTGAATTGTGAATCCTAAGTAAAGTAAATAGCCTATTTTGTGACGCCTTTTCTCGGTTGTTTGACTTGTATACCGCATAGTGCAATGTTGCTTAAATTTCTCATTTAATTGTGCTTGCTTAACTTGAGAGTTGAACAGAACCATCTTGATTTAATCATGTGCAACGTGTGTGTGAGGATTCGTGATTCTCTATGCTATCCTGTGTAGTCTAGAACTTGCCCCGTGTGTTAATTGAAGCGAAATTGTAAGTTGTGCTAATCTAGGAGATGACGTAGGAATTTTCTTGCTTGATCGTGGATGTGCTTGTCACATAATAATAGAATTTTCCATTGCTAGCCCCTTTGAGCCTATAGACTTTTCTTTTGGCACCCACATTACAAGTCATCCCCTATTTTGTTCTTAATCTGATATTGATTGAACCTTTACCTCCTAAGGCACTTAGTAGCTAAAAGAATTTAGGTTAGAGATTGGGGAGTATCTGTTGAGTGGAACCATGGAAGGGACCATTGATGCACTAAAGTTGAAATCAAAGGTCACTAGCCGATGAACTTTAATGTATGGGGTGTGTGAAGAAAAGAAAAAAAGAGGAGAAAAGGAAAAGAAAAATTGAAAGAAATGAAAAATGATAAGTGAAAGTACGTAGAAAAATACACACCTCCAATTCTTATTGATTTGTGCTAGTGAAAATATAGAAGTGCTTAATTAAAAAGAGGATTATGTTGTATATGGCAAGTGAATTGGTTGAGAAGAATATGTGCTTGAATTGTGAATGTAGTGTGTTAAAGTGTTTAGGAGGGTTAGCCACTATTTCTAAATGTATCATACCCGTCCCGTAGCCTACATTACAACCTTAAAGTCCAAATTGATCCTAGATTTGGCAAGCTCAAATTAGTAGAGATATACACTACGAGCAAGCTTATGGTACAATCACTGGATGCATATGAACTCTTTGTGAGAGTGAGTGAATTTGGTTCAATTGTGTGATGTCCTTAATTATGTTCAAAGGCATATTTGAATGTGTGAACTAGTCTATATTCACTCTTTTGTTTGTTGGTGATGGCACATGATCTCATGAATGATTGGTAATATTGTAAACTTTCTTATTGGGTAAGTGCACGAATTGAGGGTGCTTAGTGGTTGCAAGTCGATTGTTGAGGTTGGGTGGTGACAAATATGTTGTTGGAATTTATTGAATTGAAATATTATACTTGGGTATGCTTAAACGGGAAGAATTCAACTTTGTACGTGCAGGTATTGATTGTAGTCAAGAGTATAGTGTGTGGTTAAAAGTTAAGGTGATCCTCTATGATTGAACTTTGTACGTAGTTGGCAGTTTATTAGATTGTCCCATTGCTCGAGGACGAGCAAGAGTTAAGTGTGGGGTGTTGATGATAGGTTATAATTGCGTATTTTAGTCTCTTATTACGCTCTAATTTATTACACTTTAATTGAGTTTGAGCTTTAATCACTAGTGTTTTACACTAAATATGTGTTTTATGCCTTTTAGGAGTGATTCCGATCTGTGTAGGCGTTATGGAATGAATTCAAGTGATTTGGATCTTTGAAGTATGAGTAAAAGCCCAAGACATTAAGCCGGGATTGTGTTCGGAGGTCGTGTACCAAGTCCGGATTTTAAAAGAGGATGAGATAAGTTCACTCTGAGAAAATTACACTGCCGCGCTGCATGAGCCGCCGCAAGGCGTGGCGCAGCAGTGTAAAATGCTACCTGATGCGAAAAGTTAAGGCTGCTGATAAACTTCATTAGCGAGCCGCATGGTGCGGCGCGGCTGTACAAAATTTACAGAGCCAGAGTCCTATTTCGCGCGGGAGAATGTGTTTTCGTCTGGGCCTAACCCTACTTGGTATAAATACATATAAAAACGTTATTTTGAGGACTTTGGACGGAGCTTAGCGTGGGGAGACGCACTTTGGAGCAAAAATACACACAAGAACATCTCAGATTTCTTCATCTTTTCTACTATTTTTAATTATTCAAAACTTATGCAATTGTTTGATTACATCATGAGTGGCTAAACACCCATTGTTCTGGGGCTGTGATTTAGCCATGAATATTGTTGTTTGATATTAGCTTGACCTTGATTATAATTCACCAATATATGGTTGTTTCTTCAATTCTGTGTTTAATTGCTTAATTGTCTGGCCAACAGTTAGGTTCTATTTACTCTATATGCTATGCTTGGGAAAGGTGTGTTTAGATTAGAGAAGAATTGAAGAGAGCATGATCTTAACCCTTAGGGGGAGCGGATTTGTGGTTAGGATAGGAATATACCTAGTCACCGTGCTTAATTAAATATCGTGATCTTAATGCGTTCTTAATAGATTAATTTCATAGGAAAATAGGCGTTAATCTATTGAGAATAGGTGAGTAGTACTTCGGGAGAAGGCTATGTGAGCATTTATCGATTAATTAGCAACCATGAGTGAATTATATGAAAGGGTGAGTTAATTAGAACACAATAGGATTGGTGAATCGATCACAACCATGGAATAGTTGTCTCTATTGAATACATAACAATCATTCTACTGCTTGATAATTTAGTTATTACTTAGAATTGTAGTTAGCATAATTAAACTCTTGAACTCGAACTTAGCTTGACGGAATAACAATATTGTTGTGTTAGTGAGTAGTTGATATAAGTCTCTGTGGGTTCGACACTCGACTTATCATTTTATTACTTGTACGATCACGCATACTTGTGTGTGCGTTTGGGAGTAACAGTAATAATCATGGAAAAGTAGTGCATTTTAAAGAAATTTGTTAGACATTTTTTGGTCAATGCATTTCTTAAAAATTTGTTGAGTTCATCTTGTCAAATACTCTAAATGTCTGAATAGAATAATTAAGTCAATTTCTCCAAGTGCAGTTTATTAAAACAATTTCATGCTAAAAGTTTTGATGATGCTTTCATTCAATTAACATCACTTTTCCCGTTAACGATCGTGAATAGATCATAATGTGCAAAACTAAAAGCACTGAAGGATTGTTGTCATCGACACAAGATCTTGTGCGCGAATTGATGCTACTGACGTAGAATTTGAGCGTTTTAGTGTCATGACCAAATTGTCGATATTTAATGTAAAGGTAACTTTTTTCATGTATTGAGCAGATATCAACTGGAAGCGAAGATTATCTTGTGGATGCAATAGCTTTGCATGATGTAATGGGAATACTTAGGCCTATATTTGCCAATCCAGGAATTTGCAAGGTGACCTTGTTAATTTGTGTGCCGATTAATGATTTCCTTTTGTACTTTAATTTGGATGTATAAAGTGCAAGCTGCTAACTGCACGCTGTTGTTAAAAATATTGTAGTATGCTAATTTCATAATTTGCATCCCCAATTGACTCCTAAAAGTTGTTTCCTCTATTGTAGGTATTCCATGATGCTGATAATGATGTTGTTTGGCTTCAAAGGGATTTTCACATATATGTTGTTAATTTACTTGACACTGCAAAGGTAAGGTATGGTAGAATATACTATAAGCCATGCGTATTGTTATAGTATTCTTTATGAATAATTATTTATTTACTTGTTTAAATTTAATAAAGTTTCATTTTAAATAGATCATGTGTTGGTTTGTGCGTCCATTGAGTGTATAGAGTTTAGCTTATACACGGAAGATTAAATCATCGGTTCTTGTAAGACATAAAATGTTCACAATCTAATGATGGAATTGGACAAATCATTGGAATGATTGTAGCACAAGATTAAATATAATTTATCTTGATTATGGGAATGGTTTAATTCCAACTTCTTGTGCTAGTACATTTTGTATGTATTGAACGAATCAAGTAGAGATGAGTATTTTATACTGACTTTATAAAATAATTTCTCTAGTCCATTTAATGTACTTATACTCTTAATCCTGATATAATTATTATTAGCTGTGTATGTCACTTGTTGTTTTGATTTATTAAAAGGCGAGATTCTTTCGCGAGTCAATAAGCCTGGTAAATTGGATAACAATGATATACATTGGCGAAGTAATAATTAGTTGATGAAATCCATGTCTCGATTTTGAGATTGATAATACTCCTTTACGAAAGCTTATAAGTTTTCATGTGTAAACCCGGCCGGTGGATTTTGAATCCGACACATGAAATAAGTTAAGTGTAAGTCTAAAGGAAGTAATCAATAAATTAAATAGTCAGTAATTTAGTTTGATTGATTAGTATCTGAATCTTAACATGGG